TATATATATATATATGAAACTCTTATTAGTGATTTTTTTTATATTCTATTTTGGTTGTGCCCAAAGACTCCAGTGCTTCAGCTCTACCTTCCATTTAATAGTGTGGGAGGGTATTCTAAGACCTCTGACGGACCCTGTTATCAACTATCTGTGGTCACAACTGACACTGATATATTGTGAATTCAGTTATTTGTCAGTTGTGTCTCAATCAGTAACATCTGCTCCTGTAAACCTCAGTATAGTGTAAATCAGGGGGTGGGCAAACTTTGACCCTCCAGCTGTGGTGAAACTACAAATCCCATGCTGCATCTGCCTCTGGGAGTCATGCCTGAAGCTGTGAGAATCTTGCAATGGTTCATGGGATCTGTAGTTCCACAGCAGCTGGTGGGTCGGAGTTGCCCACCTCTGGTTTAAATATTAATACATTACATTTTTTTATGATTTATTACAGGTATTTAAATACCGCCAACAATTTACGCAGCGCTTTACATAGTTGCGCATTCACATCAGTCCTTGCCCTCAAGGAGTTTACAATCTAAGGTCCCCATCTCATATACAGGGCCAATTTAGACAGGAGCCAAATAACTTTCCAGCATGTCTTTTTGGAGTGTGGGAGGAAACCAGAGTACCCGGAGGAAACCCACGCAAGCTCAGGGAGATCATACAAACGCCTTTAATTTTAATATATTAAATATAGTTTTATTATTTCAATACATTAACCCTTCACCCATTTATATACACTGGTGGGGATTTATCAAAACTGGAGTAGACAGAATCTGGAGCAGTTGCCCATGGCAACCTATCAGCATCTCTCTTCAGTTTGCTCAGGTAAGATTTGAAAATGAAAGAGAGAAGCTGATTGGTTGCAGTGCAAATCTGCTCCAGATTTTTTCTGCTCCAGTTTTGATAAATTCTCTCCCATCCTTCTCTTTTCTCCCCTTCTCTCTTTTCTCCCCTTCTCTCTTTTCTCCCCTTCTCTCTTCTCTCCCCTTCTCTCTTTTCTCTCCCCTTCTCTCTTTTCTCTCCCCTTCTCTCTTTTCTCTCCCCTTCTCTCTTTTCTCCCCTTCTCTCTTTTCTCTCTTTTCTCTCTCCTTCTCTCTTTTCTCTCTCCTTCTTCTCTCTTTTCTCTCTCCTTCTTCTCTCTTTTCTCTCTCTCCTTCTCTCTTTTCTCTCTCCTCTCTTTTCTCTCTCCTTCTCTCTTTTCTCTCTCCTCTCTTTTCTCTCTCCTTCTCTCTTTTCTCTCTCCTCTCTTTTCTCTCTCTCCTTCTCTCTTTTTTCTCTCTCCTTCTCTCTTTTTTCTCTCTCCTTCTCTCTTTTCTCTCTCCTCCTCTCTTTTCTCTCTCTCCTTCTCTCTTTTCTCTCTCTCCTTCTCTCTTTTTTCTCTCTCCTTCTTCTCTCTTTTCTCTCTCCTTCTTCTTCTCTCTTTTCTCTCTTTTCTCTCTCCTTCTCTCTTTTCTCTCTCCTTCTCTCTTTTCTCTCTCTTTTCTCTCTCCTTCTCTCTTTTCTCTCTCCTTCTCTCTTAAACATCAGCTTATTACTTGGATGTGTTATGGTGGGTCGGGCTGAGCTCAATTGTTTGGGTCACATTGTTTTTAATTAGGAATGGTAAATGGTGGGCAAAGGGAACATGAATGCCCTATATATATTTTCTGTATACATTATATTTTTCTTTTTCTACTGTTTTAGATCCCAAACCCAAATGTCCCAAACTGAAAAAGACATGTAAAAAGAAACCAGTAAAGAGGCTTGCAGATGCGGAAGACGCTAAACCTCTCAGTGTGGAGAATGACAATGTATGCATTTCTTCGTTTTGGTGACAACACTGTCGTAAACCACTTTTATTATTTTTTTGCAATGTATTATATATTGTATGGTCAATGCTTTCATGATTTTAAGATACATTCCAGGGAAATGGCTATTTCAGTAAGACCACTCTGCTATTTCTGATTTGGCATTACCACTTTCTGGGCATGCTTATTGGATAATTGTGTTGGTGCTGATTTACTATACAGTGAGGGGGCCGGAGGTAGACATTTGAAATGGGAAGCTGAATTTTTGCAGGAAGATGAATTGCTTAAAGTATAAAGATAGCGCAAAAAAATTTTCCAATGTTTTCCTGACGGGGAGGTTCATTCAATTTTGTCCTGGTGACCAGTGTCATAGGGACAGTAGTGATGAGAAATTCAAAATGTTTTGGTTCTTGCCACAAATAGGAAAGGAGGGTAAATGTTCAAAAGGTTTGGATAGTAATTAATTGAAAATACACCTCACCTGTCTATGCAGTATGCTGCATTTTATGGAAGTGGGAAGGATATATATGGCAGCAAGTGAACATTTTTGTTCCTGAAGTTGATGTGTTGGAAGCAGAAAAAATGGGCAAGCGTAAGGATTTGAGTGACTTTGACAAGGGCCAAATTGTGACGGGTAGACGACTGGGTCTGAGCAACTCCAAAACTGCAGCTCTTGTGGGATATTCCCGGTGTGCAGTGGTCAGGACCTACCAAAAGTCTAAGGAAGGAAAACCGGTGAACCGACAACAGAGTCATGGATGGCCAACGCTCATTGATGCATGTGTCGAATGAAGGCTTGTCCTTGCAGTTTGATCCAATAGAAGAGCTACTGTAGCTCAGATTGCTGAACAAAGTTAATGTTGGTTCCGATGGAAAGGTGTCTGAACACACCGTACATTGCAGTTTTTTTGCATATGGAGCTACATAGCCACAGACCAGTCAGGGTGCTCATGCTGACCCGTGTCCACCACTGAAAGTGCCTACAATGGGCTCGTGAGCATCACAACTGGACTACGAAGCAATAGAGGAAGGTGGCCTGGTCTGATGAATCACATTTTCTTTTACATTATGTGGATGGCCGGGTGCATTTGTGTCGCTTACCTGGGGAAGAGATGGCACCAGGATGCACTATGGGAAGAAGGCATGTCGGCAGAGGCAGTGTGATGCTTTGGGCGATGTTCCCTCAATCCAGAAATCTGCTCTCTGTGCACTTCAACTGTCCAGTTGTGGCTTTTTTTTTTGTAAGGAAATCCCTATTGATCCCTATATAATTATGGGTATTTGCTAAGGGCAGGAGAGTTCCAAAACATCAACTTGGAAGTGTTTTGGATTGGGGATAAGTATACAACACATTATTGCCTCATCTTAATATGAGGACCTAGCTCAGGACCATTTTCAACGTCCCACACCAGGCACTTCTACTGCCAGCCAGCTCTGTATGAAGACATTATCTTGTGCATATTTGGCTGCAGGCATTGGGGTAAAAGTGGTTATTTAAGAACTATTGATGTAGAAGACATTTTTCTGGAAATTTTTCTGTAATATCTTCACTAAGCTGCTGTCGAAGTAGAAGTAAGTTTCTAAATTATCTGTAACTTTTAAGTCATTGGCCATTTTTTTATTATTTTTTTTAGATACTGGAAACCACCGATTTGTCTACCTTTGCAAGTGCATTGGATTTTATCGAAGAGACGTACAATAAAACTACAACAGGGTCTCGCCTTCACCGCTTTGTGGATGAAAGCCTAGATTTTGAAGACTTGTAGTAAGTATAAAATATCTTCATCTTTGTGATCACATCTATTTTACTTCTGTAGAATAATGTTTTTATCGGTGGCTTTCCCATGCTACCTGGGAACCTGCACATGCAGAATTCCATCTATTTATGATGATGTGATGATGAAATACACTTGGTCCAAGTAATATGAAATACACTGATTGTTTACTCCCCGCCACAATGACTACTTCACTTGTTCAGAAACTATCGAAACTATCATTAATATATCTCCTAGAATGGGAGATATAGAGGAGCCTCTGGCAGAGGCGGACAGTTGGCTAATAAACTTAAAATCAACAGACTGAATATAGTTAGATCACTTAGACTTGAACTGTTCTCATATTCACCTGAGCTGAAGCATCAGCATACATTACTTCTAGGGCAAAGTGATGGTGTCTTTCAAAAAGGGGTCTCCCTTACCCTCTTAAACTCGCAGTGCTTGAGCTTCCTCTCTGCTCCTACCTTCATTGCCCCCAGCACTGAAATCAGTGTTGTCAGAGACCAGAGATGTAATGTTTTCGGATATGTGACAGTATTAGAGCCTAGCTTTTGGCTGTGAGGCACAAGCGTGGTCACATGGAATATGTTAAGTGCTTCCATATAAATAAAAAAGGAAAAAAAATAATCGATGAGCATGCCTGGTGGAAACATTAAATGCTGTCCAACTCGGGCACTAGGGTCCTATGCTGGTCACAGTGCAGAGCAATTAACACTTTACCTGCATTGGAAGCAGACTTGTGGATACTCACATAGCACACAGCAATATAGTATTTTTGTGTGCGATTTACCTTATAAATTACAAACTGAAAATCATTTACCTTATAAATCTCAAGCCCACTATTGGTCTTGTTTCTGTCCAGTGTTTTCTGTAATCTCACTTCCATTTCCTATCTAATTGTTATATTTTGTTGCTGGAAGCACTGCCATCAGGATATGATCTCAGTGGTTAACAGGTGTGGAGAGCTTGCAAATACTCGGTATTGCGGCCGATACCGATGCTTGTATCGGTGCATCCCTAATCAAAATTATTTTGATCGATTCAAAAGTTCTTTTGATCCGTACTCACCTCTCCGCCGGCTTCCGGATCTTCTGTCGGAGATCGTTAAGCACATGGACAATAACGCACCACAATACAGTGGAGTCCTATAAATACTGCCTTATATTTTCTAACTCCTTTTTTTTATTATTAATTAGCTACTAGATAAATCACTGCTTTATTATATTTTTTTGTTTTTGTAATGATTTCAAGGAGGATAGAAAATACAATTTTGTCCACTAATGTATTCCTACTTTCCAAAACTTTTTTTAATTCAAACCTTTTTTATTCTTCTCAGTGCCGAGGAGGGCATAGATGAACTTGAGCTGGTTGCTGAGGTTCATGTTGGAGATGCCGGCACTTACTCCAATGTCCCACCAAGAATCTTCAGAAGAGCAAGACCCTGGCGATTTCAGAAATCAGGTATCTATTGTGGAACAATATAAGCAGTGAGCTTTTTACTAAACGTAATTGATTATTAAATTATAATCACTTATGTAGGTTTTCCCACAGCACTGGGTTAGATAAGTGTTTTCCAGCCAACTGTGGGCTTTCCAGTAGTCTGTATGTTCATAGAGACTTGAAGGGTTTAAGAGGTTTTGCCTGTTGTATAAATATATTTTATATTGCTCTGACACGCAAGTCTAATCTCAAAAGCAACACTGGGCTGAATTCAGTGCTGAAATGGCCTGTTTGCAAATTCTGCGGTCACCTATGTTCTACGCATCGGATCAGCGCGGGTCACTGCAAGGACACAGCGTAGCTGTGATGGGTGGTGTGTTGGACTGCGCTAAAATGAGAAAATGTTGCACTTTATCGCAGCGCACTGGATGCGTACACACGTCAAGATAATTTTTTTCAGATTAAACTTTTTTTTGAAGAGCTTGGCGTTACTCACCCAGTCTTATTCCTCCTACGCTGCTGATTCTATTTCATTTAATAATTGCATTGTAACCTGCATTGTATTGATCATTAGCACCTGTATGGTATAAATGGTTACCACGCGCTGCTGTGTGGGCACCTGAATGGAGTGTATGCATTGTACACTTCACAAAAATTGAAGAAAAAAAAGTAACCGCTCTAGTAGTGTGCATTACAATGCACACTGCCAGAGCTACCATAACGCATTAGCCCGCCTGCTAAAATGCAGTTTTAATGAACTGGCCCTTTCAGGTAAGTCGCCAGGATCGCTTCTGTTGTAAAGCCGACAGTCGGCTCTACAAGTTTAAACAGACTCCCGGCGGCAAAAGTCACCGGGAGTCTGTTTAAACAGCCCCGATGCTGGCGACGTACACTGTACGTCGTCAGTCACGAAGGGGTTAATGCAACATCCGGCTTCTAATAGATCTCGGATGTTAGATTAAAGATAACCTGTCACCTCACCAGTACTGTAAGCGGAGCATAAACAGTGATCTGGTAACACCATATTAGGCACACTTTGGAATGAGAGGGCTTATTCTAGGGAGTTTTAGGGTTAACTCTACTTATTAGCTTTGAGGTTTATTAGAGCCACATATGGATATTTTTGAGTATGGTCATCTTTTGCTATTTTGTGGGTGCACAGGGTTTTAGGAGTTGCCATATTTTGTATCTGTTTACTTGATCCAGTCTCATCTTTTACATTTTATCAAAATAAAAAAGGGAATTTATATTATGTTTTGTGTGCAGAAAATTATTTTTGCGTATTTTTTTTTTTTTAATTGAAACTTTTGGTTTGGAAAACAGTTTTGCGGATATTGCGTGACTTAAATATTTGCAAATACCAAATATTTTATTCTACAGGCTCTCGCATTTCAGAAAATGTATACATTTTGGGGGTTTTAACAAATTTAAGACCTAAAATGTGCGTTTTTAACGTGTCAGATATGAGGGGGGTAAACTCCTTTAGCAAAAGGATAAATTCATAACCCACCGAGGGCCACAAAAACGGAGAGAGAGTGGGCCACATTTGGCCATTAGAATTCTAGTATCACATGTCTGCTAAAAAGTAAGAAACACTCTATGGTTGTCTTGATCTTGACACTGAGTATACTGTAGAGCCTTTCTAATGCACTTTTTTCCTCCTTCTTTTAGCGTGCCTAAGTACCTCAGGGCTGGCGTTCACAGAAGGACAATCAACAGTACACCGAGAGACAGCAACTAAGCCTTCAAGATTCAAGGAATTCCTTGGAACCCCTATGTCTCATATCAACATAAACCCATGTACCCCCAGAAAACTGAATAGAACTCTAAGTGCAGACTGTAGTTTAGAACAGAAGGCACATGTTACTTTTCAGAAACCTACGGACAGAACTTCCCTACATGTAAATGCTTCAGTAGCACCCGTGCTCCCTGGAATTCACTGGACAACTAAAGGTCCACTGGATGCCTTCCCCCCTGCATATAGGATACAAAATGGCATATGCACGGAGAGGACTAGTATAATAAATGGCAACATGTTAGTTAAAAATACACCCGATGCATTAGAGTCATTGGGACTAGCTTTGGGAAATGGCACTGGGGTAACAGGGGGGCAGCAGAGACCACTTGGAGGAGAAAGCTCCACAGTAAACAACCAGAACTCTCAATCTCATGGCTCTTTAGAAAAAGATAGTGGCTCCTCATCCTCCTCTTCCTCCTTCTCCCAGAACCCTATACTATCTGCTGGTGGCAGTGGGGTACAGTCAAATCAATCCCAGGATTTAGATATTTATGACCCTTTTCACCCCACAGATGAGGAAAATGTGAATGGAGACTATATTTATTCAGACTCCCCAGAGAAAGAAAATGATGACCAGGAAGATCAAAAATATGACCCGTTTGAACCCACTGGCTCAAATCCAAGCTCCTCTGAACGCAGCCCTTCACCGTATGAAGATGATGATGATGATGACGATGAAATTGGGAGTGACACTCACCCTGAGGGTCGAATCTCTGAAGTGTTGGCTGGTATATATGATGAAAACAGCTTGAGCCAGGATGCTCCAGGCTCTGAGAAAACAAAGGAAGGTTTTAAATCTTCTGAATCTGAGAAAGGCCTCCCAAATGATGAGCATGAGAGAAGCATTGAAGTGGACAGTAACAAAGCTGAGCAGAAAAGTTCTAAAGAACGGTCTGACTCTGTTTCAAAGCTAGATTATGAACCCTACAGTCCTAGCTCCAGTATAGACATGGACACAGCAGATGATGGGGAGGTAGATGAGGTGTCACAAGAAGTACCAGAGGAGAAAAGTATAAAAGAAGCACCAGTTGCTGATTCAACACTTGAAGAAACAAGTATTGGAGAAACATCAGCAGAGCCTATACGGCGTGTTTTCACAGTAGATGCTGGTAATGACTTTAACAGGAAAACTGACTTCACTTCTGAAGCTGAATCAAAATCCAAGGTTGAAATAAAGGTTTCCTTGGAATCGCTGGCCAAGCCCGATATGAAGTCCTATTTACGGTTAGAAAAAATTGCCAAGCTTGGAAGTGAGTCAAGATCGCGGCATAAACGGAGGCATTCATCTGAAAGGAGAGATCATGATGATGATTCAGATCGCAAATATGATTCTGAGATTGAAGAAGGGGAGATTGTCCAGCCAGATGAGGACTGTTTTAGCCCTGTGCCTATGTTCCGGAGCCGGTGTCGACTTATGGACAGACCACTTAGAATGGTTGAAGGGGATGACTTCCTTTCTCTGCATGCAGATTCAGATGAGGAGGGAGCTTTACAAATTGACTTTGGAGAAAATCAGATGGACAGCAGATGGAAGGGACTTGATCTGAGACGAAAGATTACAAACCAACGTAGAGAGAGATATCGCAAGAAATCGGAGACTCCACCAAAAGCCAAAAAACACTCAAAATCACGCTCTCCATCTAGCTCTCATAGTCGCAAGAAGACCAAACGCGAAAGAAAGCGATCCAGGGAAAGGAAGAGGTCCAAGGAACCACGGACGACGGCGACAACGACAACAACAACTACGTCCTGGTCTATTACAAAAAAATCAAAAGATAGTAAAGACCGCAAACGTTCTAGGTCACGATCTTTTAAGGACAATAAGGTTTCTCGTTCACGTTCAGGAGAACGTAGAAGATCACGGTCCTGGTCACCTTCCATTAGCACTAGCTTATCTGCTGTAGGGTCCTCTCGTACATCAGCGGAGAGGAGAAAAACTTGCAGGTCTAAATCGAAGGAGAAGAGGCACCGTTGGTCACGCTCTGTCAGTATGGAGCAATCTCGAAAAGATAAACATAAGGACAAACATCGGGTAGATGGGAAGAAAAAGAAGAAAAGATCACGTTCAAGGTCCAGAGATAGAGAAAGGGACAGAGATAGAAGATCTTCCCGGCACTCAAATGATAGGAGAGAAAAGGAGAAAGCAAGGACCAGGCACCCTTTAGATGAACCCAAGGTGGAAAATCCTCCACTCATGGAAAGGAGGAGACGAGACAGTCGCTCAGTGGTTCCTCCATCAATACAAGAGCTGAATAATGCAGATCTTTTTACAATAAAGAGGACTATTACTGTGAATCCAGAAGAGAAACTAAATCGTGAAGAAATGCTTCGTACTCCCGAACTTCCTGGGAAGAGAGAGGTTTTGTATGATTCAGAAGGACTGAGCTTTGAGACCTATTCTGACCGTGAAACTGTTGATGACCGAGATGGAAAATCTAACCGAGTTTTTGAAAGGCATTCTGTAAAGTCTGATTCCAGCAAGAGGAGGATACCCATGGACTTTGCAACAAAGCGGGTAGAGGAGGAAAGAGAAAGCCGACAGAGAGCTTCAAAAGATAGAGATAGAAAAAGAGCTTACCCAGATGACAGCCGTGATCGGTATAAAAAGCGTTTCAAAGAAGGTTCTGATCCAGAGCCCGAGCCCTTGAAGTTAGACAGAGATAAAATTCGTACTGATAAGGATAAAGGTCCAAAGAAACTTAAAGCAAGTCATAAAGACAGCAAAGGAAGTTCAACTAGGAAAGTAAAACTTCAGTCTAAAGTGGCTGTGTTGATACGTGAAGGTGTAAGCAGCACCACAACTGTCAAAGAAGCTGGGTCTATTGGAGTCAAATTTAGCAGGGACAGAGAAAGCCGCTCCCCGTTCCTTAAATCTGATGAAAAGATAACCGATATTAAGAGTAGTCGACCTAAACTTGAACCCGATGATGTCAAAGAACCTCTTCTACGGCCTAAAAAAATAAAGGGTTTAAAAACAAAAACTGGTGTTAAAAAAGTAAAGCCTGTTGGTGCTGGAGGGACTCTTGTCAAACCTAAGGGGACTCTAGAAAAGAAAAAGAAGAAGCTGAAGACTAAAGCCTCCTTGAAGAAGTCCAAAGCAGATAGTTGCAGTCAAGAGATCTTAAGCCCAGTTGAAGCCAAAGAAGAACCGATATGGTCTGACACTGAGAAAACTGAAATTAAAGTGAAGCCTCCAAGTCCTCCCAAGCCAGCCAATGAACAAGACCTTACCCCTGATTCCCAAACAGTCGACAGTAGCTGCAAAACTCCCGATGTTTCATTCCTGCCCGAGGAGCTCCCTGAAGACCCAGAGAGAAGTACTGACTTAGTGGTTGACAGTATTTCTGAGACTAAGGAAGAAGCGCCCCGTCCACCTCCTCCCCCACCACCGCCAGCACCGATACCATGGAACCTTCAGTCAGGAGTGGACTGCACAACAAGTGGGGTCTTGGCATGTAAGTGGATTATCCTTTTTTCTCTGTCTCTAGAAATATAGTTTTGCTATTCCTGATTAATGTGCACATTGACGGATATGGAGAAATTGTGTACAGAGGTTGAACTATAACCACAATCATGAATGAACAGGAAGTGATGTAGATCACTTCCCATGCATTCCTAATTGGGGACACAGTAAACATACTCTGTCCTCCAATTATTTACAAACACTCAGCGATCACTGATCACTTGTACCCGCTCTCCATCCAGACAGCTGTCACAGGAGTGAGCGGTGCTCAGCCTCCTTTGAGAGCTATCTCGGCCCACACTGCTCTCCTCTGATCTGTGATAGGAGGCTGAGCGGTGCGAGACGCCTGCCGATCACATTCCTCAACTACCGCAGCGCTCGGCCCCCTGTGACAGTTTCTCTCCTCCCCACTGGGACACAAAGCCGCCCAGCAATCTTTCTGGCTGGCTGTCAAGTAGGTTCTTCTTGGCAATCACTGCAACATAGGAATGTAGCAGCATTGCTTTCTGTGAGGATGTGTCTCCCCATGAGGGACACCATTTTTGGGACATATCTACCCTTATTCACTATTTACAGCAGTAATATGCCAGCATCATACTTCATTGTGGTTGGCATCGTAGAAAGTTAAACTGACACTAAACTCGGGAATTAAATCTTAAAAATGCATTCAAGTACCATAACTATTAACATAAATGTATCTTATTTGTGTATCACTCGGCTGTAGATCCTCAAATCATCTCTAAATTCATGCTGACACTGTCCTTCCTTCTGGAGGGTGGCTACTTTTGTTCCCCATGGTCCCTGTGTGTGTTGTAAAGTAGTCACCGCTCGCTCCCGTGATGGACTACAATCTCACTACAAATTAGTAAACTAAACATGAGATACACAAATAAGATACATTTTTGTTAATAGTTGGGGTATTTGAATGCATTTTCCAGATTTACCTCGTGAGTTTAGCGTCACTTTAAATACACTCTTGAAATACATAGATGTGAACGGTGTTGCTTGCCAGACATTTGTAATCTGTTCAGCCGGTCTTATTATTCACAAACCTCTGCCAACAATGCACAACATATATTTGAGAACCTTTTTGCCTTGCTGGTTGTTTAAAAACATAAGTAAAACACGAAAGTACAGCATCGAGAAGGATAGCTTGATAGAGGGAACTTATGTTCTAAAAGCTAATACGCATAACACTAACATTTAGGCTGCATGATGACCATATACAAAAAAAACACAAATCCAAAACCGTAACCTTGTCCAGAAACAAAAAAAAATGCTATAACTGTGGACAAATATATTGTCTGGTTTAAGGATCTATGTTCACGTAAAAGTAATTTGCTGGTTCTGCCTGATCTTTACTCCCTTAATCCCCCTCAGCAGGGATCACTTGAGCAGTTGTGGAAACATTGCCGTTTTATGCAGTGGTCATTTAGAAAGTCACTTTAAATGGCTTGGGATGCTAGTTAAATACTTAAGTGAAATCTATTTTTATTATTAATTTACCCTTTTTAAAGCTGAACTCCAGACAGATGTAAAAGGCACAAATTAATGCAGCTCTGTAAGTTACCAGCAACCTTTCCTGTAGCCTGCTCCATTCCTAACTGCCACCCCCGTAGCCCCAGCCTGCTCCCTTTCCGGCCACCCCCGTAGCCCCAGCCTGCTCCATTCCCTGCCACCTCTCTCTCTTCCCCCCCAAGCCTGCTGCATTCCCAGCAGCCTCTTCCTCCCCCATCCCCAGCCTGCTCTGTTCCCGGCCGCCTCTCCATCCCCTCCCCAGCATGCTTCTTCCGTGATGATTTGTGTACAAACATAAATGCCAATCATGAAAGAAAATGCAAGGTCAAATAACTCTAAAAATGTAAAGAGATGCCAATGCCGGCATGTGCTCAGTGTCAAAATTTGGGCCCCTTTTTTTTCTAATTTAACAACATATAAAAAGAAAGTGCACAAAAATATCCAAATTTAACTAAATATATCAGTTTAAAAAAAAGTATCTACTTTCCCCTTTAATCGCCAGGACCCAAATTATAGCATTCTAGAAGAGCGCTAGTTTGTCCCAAATAAATATAGAACATTTGTATTTGAATATCTTACTAATAACTTTCTAATAATTGATAGCTTTGTTTTCATAAACTTTCTACTATTGTGCAGCCCTCCGGACATGTCGAGGGCCACTCTTGTGGCCCTTTGTACTAAGCTGGTCACCACAGCCTTTGAGGCTTTGGGCTCCAGTATATGGTGCTTGTTTGCAGTTTTTCTGAAATTAAACTTGGACTTTCTTGTGTTCGTTGCTTAGATATAAATGCCCTCAGTAGAGGAGTTCTGCTGACCACCTGTAGTAGGAAAGTCACCCATTAGAGATTTTCTTTTCCTTTTATCACTTTATGGATGAATTTTGTTTCCATTGTGTGATTACAGTGACTGCTCTCCTATTCAAGATGGAGGAGGCGAACATGGCAAGCCGAGCCAAGGCACAGGAGCTAATCCAAGCCACCAATCAGGTGTTTACTCGATAAACCATCCATCTTCTCATCATTTTACAGTTGCAACTCATATCTGTTAAAGGAAACTTGTACTAAAGGAAAAATAGTGGCTGTTACGGCTGTCCTCTCCTTCTATGAATGCCAGCTCCCCAGCTCTCACGTTGATGCAATGGTTTGGACCCTGAGTCGCTGACCCAGAACAAATATGCGGGTCAGGAATGCTGACTTCACTGGTTACTTGCACGTTCAGGGGCAATGATGCAAAGTATTGATGCCACAGACTGCCAGGGAACTGTCATTTTGAGAAAGTGGTCACCAGCGGCAGCCTATTCTCAATGTTCAGGTTTCATTTAAAGCGTATCTAAACTTAAGAACCACAATGTAATATATTTCAGACTAGCAGTCCTTGTGATGTGGTGACGGCATTATTGCCTTTTTTTTTCTTTTATATTCACCTTTTGATCCTGCCAGTTACACACATCATGTCCTAGTGTGGCAATACTTACCCGCTGCTAGGGATGTACCGATACTAGTATCGGTGCCGATGCTGAGTATTTGGGCGAGTACCCGTACTCGCCCAAATGCGCCCATGCCTGGCCAGGTGGGCAGGGAAGCCGGCTCCATGCTCCCTCGCCACGTGTGATGAGAAATCATGGAGCAGGCTTTCGGCCAATCAGGAAGCCGAGCGGCGTGTAATGACTCCCTGCCCAGGTTCCTGATTGGTCGGGAAGCTGGCCAATCAGGAATCTGGGCGCCGTGTAATGACGTGGCGCCAGGCTTTCTGATTGGCCGGGAAGCCGGCTCCATGCTTTCTCGTCACCTCGTAATGAGGGAGCATGGAGCCGGCTTCCCGGCCAATCAGAAAACCAGGTGCCGCGTTTTACACGGTGCCCGGCTTCCTGATTGGCCAGAAAGCCAGCTCCATGCTTTCACGTCACTTAGTAAAGAGAAGCATGGAGACAGCTTTTCTGGTAACTGGGAAGCCGGGTGGCGAGTATTTGCCTCCTGGCTAATCAGGAAGCCAGGTGGTGAGTCATTACACGCCGCCTGGCTTCCTTAATGGGACATTCGGTATCGGCGAGTACCGAAAAAAATATCGGTACTTGATACCGAAAAACCGGTATCTATGCATCCCTACCGGCTACCTATAAGATTTTCTCTGACCTTCATTAAATGTGTAAGGCCTTTCCTTTTAAAATTGTTAGACCTGACCGAGCCGGGAGCGTACTCCATCTCGCAGCTGTTTTAGAATGGTGGGATGCAGGCTGACGTCATGATGTGAGCGAGCATCCCCTGCCCCTTTTCTTAATAATCGGCTAACTAATCGATTTTGAAAATAATCGTTAGCTGCAGCTCTAGTTTACATTCAGGAAACTCCCGGCTGGCAGCTGAATGGGGCTGGGGATGTGTTTATGGTTGCTAGGATGCTGCCGGCCTGGTGTCCTAGCAACCAACAAACCAGAAGCTGTCAGATTCATGACAGCTTCTAGTACATACATTCCCCACTCTACACACTGGGTCTCTCTCTGTACACCAGATCCGAGTTGGTCTTAATTGTTGCCAGTTTTCCAATTTGTAAACTGTTGCTAATTGTATTTGATTCTGTTGCAGCCATAGTGACAGATTCTTAGTGTCGGTATTAAGAACTGCCTGAAGCTGTCACAGGTGTCCGTAAAGCTACCTAAAATGGCGACAGAGCCTTTTTGAATTTGGCGCAGAACCTTTTAAAGGTCCATATTGCTAGAAAAGTAGTGTTAAGACTTTATTGGATTGCCTCCCCCTAGTTATTGGAGCTTCCCTTTAGTTTAGCAGGATGGCCAAGAACAATTTTTTGATCATAGAGTTCTCCGAACATTTTAATGTACGAATATTAAATAACCAGCTAACTTCTTTCCTTACAGATCCTTAGTCAGAGCAAGCCTTCTACCTCATTGGTGACCCAGCCTCCTCCACAACCTGTCATACCATCTCTTGGTCACTCGGCACCCTCCTATCTTCCTTATAGTGGTCTATCCCTGAGTGGCAACTCCAGCCCCCCCACCCCACCTGGAATCTCAAGTCTGAACTCGCAATCAATTTCCGGTACTACCTCCAGCTCATTCTTCAACACTACGTCAATTGGAGAGCTGGGTAAACGGGAAGGCAGCACGAGCTCTGAGGGTAGAGGAGACACTGATAAGGTATTCATACTTAATGGGTCTTGTTAATACTGACCATTCTGATAAATGGGCCGTATTCAGGACATTGATGGGATTCCAGCTTTGCCTGTTTTGTTGAAAATTGCACTTTTCACCTTTTGAGAAAATGTGGAATTTGTATACTCTTAAAGTGAATCTGAAAGGTCCTAAACATTATAATTCAACAGTCGAATATCGGAGCCTCTACTAGCCACTGAGGTTCTGTAGTTGATTAGCGGATGGGGGTCTACACTTCACTGGTATCATTATCTTGCACAAGCCTAAAGGGTTATTAAACTCTCACGTGTTTTTGCATAGTTCTAAAGCTAGCAAGCAGTAGATATATGCAAAAACTTTTTTTTTAAAAACCCCTTTTGAATCAGGGTTAAACTTACCTGTGTCTTCGCCACGTGCTCCCGTCCGAACATCTGAAGAGTCTCGGGTGGCCACAAAGGATCGTGGGGCATGCGCAGTTCAGATGTTCGGCTGGGAGACGAGGGGAGAGACACAATGTAAGTCTATAGAGCAGGGTGCATCCGCACAGACTCCATTGGAGATCAGAGGAGTCAGCGCTGGATTGGAGACCCATACCAGCGCCGGAGGGACAGCTGAAAAACACAGTAAAGAAGAAGATAATTGAATAAAGAGGCATCATTTATATCCTTAGGAAAGCTGTACATAAGGTGAGAGACTTTGCAGTGATACATCCTTACACTAACATTGGGTGGGGATGGGGGGGCTTGAATAGCCTTTAATGTCACTTTAAGGGCTGGACAGGCTCACCTGATCTGAAACTGCAGTTTAGGCAAAGGGGAAAAAAGAAAAGTCCTCCAGGTCAGCTGAATACATTGCAAGATTGTAAACATTCTCATACTGTACCTTTCTGTCCAGGAGCTAGTTGGATACATATTTCTAGGTCACATTCTGATATCTGAATAGTTCTTAGAGGAAGTTTCTCATTTATTATCTTTCTGTAATTACACGAGGAATCCTTATTGCATAAAAAAAATAGACACCCCCCCCCCATTTTTAATGTACCGGGTGCAAATATCTTGACAATATCTGTATTTCTGTCCGTTTTTTTCCTCTTTTCTTGGAAAGGAATTTTCTCAGTTGTGGTGTTTTTTTGTGCATCAAAATTTGAGATGCGATTCTACTATTTTCAATGTATAGAATATTTACAGTAAACCTGAGCAAACGGAGTATGTGATGGGACCAAAATACATTAGTGGAGGTAATGATCAGGGATTACGGCCTGTTCCAGCAACCCCTAGAAACATCAATATTAAGGGCTGAAGTTCCGTTGGTCGCATTGAAGATCCAAAAGGCAGTTAGGAGAGGTTGGACTAAACTAGACTATATAAGAAAGAGATTTGTAGATAGCTTCAACTGCAGATGCCTCAATATCTACTGATTTGGTTTTGATAAGCAGTTTTCACTGAAGGTTAGCTCTAGGGCTGCTACTAACGAATTTTTTCATAATTGTTTAGTTGGCTGATTTATTTTTTCGATTATTCAGGACAAAAATGACCTAAATACGATCCTTAAAGGAGAACTAGCGGGTCAGTGCTTTTCCCCATAGTTCTCCTAAGGGTCACGGGAGAACACAAACTAGCGTTCTCCCGTCACCCAAAGCTCAGTAGCTCGCGTTATACTGAGACGCCGCAGCTGGGACAGATCCCGACATTGCTGTTAAGATCCACCCAGCTGCGGGATTGACAGCTGGCTCTGCCTATCCAGAGGCAGAGTCAGCTGTGCCCGCCCCCTCCCCGTCCGTTCCACCAGTCGGCGCTGG